TGCCACCCGAGGCAGCAGCTACGGATTTTCTACACACCAAACTCTCCTCCAAGGTAGCCTCCTGTTTTACGCCCCTCCCTATTGTGTAACTCCTTGGGGATTCAAACAGAGTGTAATTAGACGGTGAAAAGAACACAGTCACCGTTATAACAGATCTAATCAGCATTCTTGTCTGGTGAGTCGTGCAGTGCAAAACACACCGAGGTTCACAAGTGCCGTGGCTGCAAAAAACCAGATATGAATTAGCTAATAAACGGTAGGAGTAGAAGTCAACACGGCGGGCATACGAGGAATTATTAACGTGGGGAAAACTAACAGGATTCTGACCGCAATGGCTCCTGCTTGTTAAACGGTGTATGCACGGCACCTACCGAGTGCGCTACAACGGCAGCAAACTTGCAGTGCAGATGAGCCGAGAACCAATAGCGTGGACGTAGACGACAAAGTAATTGCTCCAAAGGCGGACAGCCTAAGTCATTGGCGTTGGCCTCCTCACGGAAGTGCGGCTTAATTTGAAACAACTCCATCGTATCCCCATAGTTATGTATGCCGCGCGGCCAGTCGTGACTCAGCACAATGTCCACCCGACGTGCCAGTTGACCAAGTCGGAAAACCTCTAAGGAACGAAGATGATAGACAGACCGTTTAGTCGCCTCCGAGTAGGGCGGTCGCTCGAAGTGTCCCATAGGGTAGTCGTGTTGTTTATAAATGCCGGAGATACCAGCGATGCGTAAGCCGGCAAACTGAACGACTCCCGCATAGCCTGAAATAAAAGAGCACGGACGGGTTTGTGCGTGTGCTAATGCAATCGAACCAGTTCTTCCTCTGTAGGAATAATTACCAGAAAGCAGGGAATGCCTCCGGTGGGCATTCGGTTAACTTACCCATGTACCAGATATTTGGTGCCACCCAACCACCATAGGGAAGCTCTTGGAGGTAGACGGAAGCCTCGTGATTGCCGCCGACAAAGACAGTCGGGATGGGAGCAGTCACTTCTTCAGAATAATACCTGAATATACGTA